GGCGTAAAACTTTTATTATTAAAATTAACATTTAAAACCCGTACCATGAAGTAATGTGTGAGGTGAGCGTGGATAAATCAGACAGTTAAACTAGTAACGTAACATTAGCAGTTAGAATCGTGACCATGAAATAAAGTCAAGGTTAGGAGATGGATAAATCAGGCGGCTCAGCCAGGGCTTTGTTATGTTAACACTTGAAATCCCCTGGCAAGGGGGATTTCAGATGAAGAAATTAAACAGGCAACACAATTGACCCGTACAGGGCCTGATTCTGGTGCTGTACAACCATAAGTTATATTGGGAGGCATTAAAGAGCGGAAAAACACAAGAGAAGAGGTGACTGGGTCTGTTTTGCTGTTTTGGAGGCTGCAGGGACATATCTCAGCTCCACTGAATGATGGGGCAAAGGGTCTTCATTGCAGAGGGCTAGCAAAAGCTCTTCCTACAAAGGAAGGGCTTTTGGGGAAGGAAGGGATGAGGGTCTATTTACAGATGAATACAAGTTCTTTTCTAAATTGAGATCAGATCATCAGCTACCTCTCTGAGACATAGGACAGCACAAAGGTGTAGGCTTCAGAGCAGCTCCAGATCAGCTGGATCATCCCTCATCTCCTCCCAAGCAATTGATGTCCGAAGACTTGGGGGCAACCTGCACCTCCGTAACCTCTTCTATAAGCTACGTCCCCAGCAGAACCCCCAGGAAAAACTTTCAGCACTGCTCCACACACAGCAGGATCCCCACCAACTTTCTGTCTTCACACTATGAGACTCAGGCCTTGCTTTCTACCATGAAGCTTTCTGGGACCTTCACTTGTTTTTGCTGTACAATCCATTCCAAGGAGATGCAGCACTGAGCTGCTCTCACCAACTGAGCAAAACCTTCTCTGGATGACCAAACTCACTGGGGAAAGGTCAGGGACAGAAAATGATGCCTTTTTCCTTTTTTTCTTTTTTTCTTGTCCTCTGAATGGATGAAGGGGACCAGCTAAAGAGGGCTGGGAAATCTGTTTCCAGCAGACATGGTCTTAGAGGGACACAAAACTCACCAAGGTGTCCCCAACCCTCTTACTGCATGAAGACTCGAGTGCAGCACAACGACGAGAAATAGGGAAGGAAAAAGCAGGGTGGCAGTGGGAAAGGGGTGGGATATGATGTCATCTTCCCACCCCCGGGGGAACCCTGAATTATTAATCGGAAAAGAAAGCCGTCCCTGCAACCCAAGCCGGAGCGGCTCTGATTTCATCTCTCGACAGCCCTGGCGCTTGGCTGCGCCGACCGGCCCCGTTTCCGGCAGGGACGCATCCCACGGGGACAGCCGGCGGGTTTTTGTCTGCACAACGTCAGCACCAAGATCAGCTGCGACCTCCAGATGCATCCACTCGGGCAGTGGGAGGAGGAGAAGGGGAGATTTGCCTCTGAGAAAGGATGGGACTTGTTGGAGATGTCGCATGCTGGGGAGGTCAGAAGAACGGCCTCTTGCTGTTGTAGGCACCAAAGTTGTGCTCACCTATGGATACACCAAGAGTTTTCTTCATCCTAGTGCCACCCAGACACTTTTTGGTGGTTTAAATGCAATGAGCTGCATAGGTTTCAGCCTGGGTGGAGGAAAAAGGGCAGAGCCCAGCATCTTCACTTGTGTCTTATTGCCCAGCCTCATCAGCCTGGTCTTATTTCTTCTCTCACCTTGTCCCTTTCCTCCCTTTCTTCCCAGCCATGAACTCTACAGAATGACATTGTGCTTCTAAAGAATGAATCCAGTCCCAGTGAGAGTTTGCTTTTCCCTCTATCCATCTCTAGCAACCATGAACCTGAAATACGTTGTGGCAGTTGTGGTTTGCCAGGGCCAAATCCTGCCCTTGCCACTGCTGTGATATTTCCAGAAGCGTATGTTTTGCTTTCACCTCTTGGTGTCAAGTGGGAGAAAGATGAGGAAGCTCAGAAAAGAATTGTAACATTCGCTAAAACTTCTTGACAGTGATTCATCTACTTGGGGGTTACTATTATTTTAAAATTAAAAGTATATTTTAACCAATGAAAGGGTAATAAATATTGGCTGGGAGGGAGCTGGGAGCTGGGACTAGGAGTTGTCTCTAAGGAACAAGAGCAATTTTCCCCAAAACTCAGCTTTCTCTACACTTGGAGGTTGCCAAGATCTCTGATGCTTCTCTTTGCCCCATGGTAAGAATTTCTGGCAGCAAGGCTAGTTGTGGCTTTGGAGCTGGGTCTGGGAGGAGGCAGGCAGACCTCCAAGGGTTCCTGCAGGTCACAACGGCTGGCCTTCTCCTCTAGCCTCGAAGTCCTATGTGAGGAAGAAACCTCCTCACCTCTTCCAGCAGAACAGAGAAACAGAAAGACTTTTGTACTACCTAAGCAAAATATTAAAGCTGTTATTTTCCATTTCAACACCCATATCTGGGACTTTTCCGCAGAGAGAGGGGACGGTCACAAGCCAACAGGACACCTAACCTCTTCAGAGAGTTTGCATCTGTCTTTAGTTCTGCAACCCTACACCATTTTTTCCCCCTTAGGGAGCCAGCACGGAGCTGATTCAGCTGAACAAGCACGGGAGTGAGGTGAGCTGTGTCCCGAACTCCAGCTCTTGGCTCAGTCTGCATTGACTCCAGAGAGAGCCCAAGGTAGCCAGCCCAGGCAGAGCCATGGCAGATACTTCCAATAATCAGACTAATGTCCCCTCAAAAAATGAGCCATGTGGTAGGCAGAAGAGAGAAACCAGCACAGTTTCTACTCTTCAGATTACTATTGCTTGAATGCTTTGGGATTTTTCAATGTTGGGATTGCGCTCATGGAGCATCCAACATCCCCCACACCTCCAAAAAAGCTCTGAAGACTGTGGAACACAACAGCAACATCTGAAGCCTTCGCTCTTCCAAGAACAATAAAAATATTGGGAGGGCAGGATGAAATACCACTGGAGGGTTGATCAGTAGGGTGGGTGAAATGTAGGGAGCAATTCCCTCGTTTGAAAACAGACACCTATGCTGGGTTAGAAATACATGCCCCAAACTCCACTGGCAATATCAAGAGGGTTTGCATAACAGGAGCCTGGATATACAGCTCAAACGCGGATGACTTAGCTGTTGACTCCTCCACTCAACATGATGAATCCTACCCAAGGTTTTTACTGAAAATACCTTTTGTTATTGTGTCTGACAAGGTCTCACTCCCTGAGACCCATTGCACTGAACGTGCTGAAAATACAGCTTTAAGTAAAGAGGGTGCCTACAGGTTGATACGAGCGCCTCGTGCTTTGTATGCAAATTGCAGCGTGGCTGCGATATATCAAAGTCAGGAAGTGTGCGAGTTCAGTTATTCAAACTGCAATAATGGGAACAGATCTTAAATCTACAGGAATGTGTTTGGAGGCTGGTAGGGAGCTACAGTGCACAAAACAAAAGACAAGTCCAAAAAAAGAGCAAAGAGTTCAGTGTTGGCAGCAGGCAGATGCAAAAATATATATTCTTGGGGACTTTACTAGAAGCTAGGGAGGGGAATTGTATGGGCAATTGAAGATGTGCAGCTGAATCTGATTCTTGTATTGCAGGATCACTGAGAACAAGGATGATATTGCAGGAACAGGAATCAGGTTGCAGCAAGAGGCAATAGGAGCTGAACTGCTGTGGCTATGCTTGGAATTTGTCATTCCAGGAGGCTATTAAAAATATCGCAATCCTTAGAGAAAAATTGAAAACTCTTTAAAAATTAAAAAAAATATATGTATAATAATCCTTGTAGTGAGGGTAGAGGATCACCAGGATACTTCCCAGATTTACAGCCTGTGAAAGCTAATTTTGAAACTCCCAAATGATATTTAGTGTTTCAAGGCAAATGAAGACATGAAGGGCTGAAATCCCCAGCAATCCATCCTATCCCTGACCAGCTCTCACTGCCAGTGCATTAGTTTCCATCCCTGAGAACCTCTTTGCAAGCTGGGTTCTTGCAGATGTGACAGATGCCGAGTCCCTTTGCAGTGAAATTTTGGCTCCTTTGCAGGATTTGCTTTCCTCTTAGCTATTTAATTAGCCTTAAACCTCCTAAATGCAGCAGGCAGATAGAGCACAGCTCTGCCAAGGGGATGACACGCATGTCCTCTCTGTGCCTACATGTTCAGCTTCATTTCAAACAGCCCTGGAAAAGAGCTTTTCATTTCCATCCCACCACCTTCCCCTACGTGTGGTCTTTCTCATCTTTCTTTACTCAGATCCCCCTTTTTTGCTGTTTTATGGGGTGAATCAGGGCTATCTACAGAAGGCTGCATCTACTGGAGCCTAAGACCATAAAATTTTGCTTTGAACATCCCAGTGCTGCCATGGTCTTGCCATGACCATAGGAAGGCAATTGTCTTTTTACTGCACCTCAACCCTTCGAGACCACCCCAAGCAATGGGGTGATATTCAGGGAATCTGGGGTCTCCAACAAGAAAAAGCCCAGCAGCATTTTCATTGTCTTTGATTGCATGTTTGGGGCATGTACTCTTTTTTTGTGTGTGCACACTTGGGGACGAGTGTAGGTACATACATGCAGGTATCCCTGGAGGTATCTGCATGAATATACCCATGTGTGTCTCTCCATATAATACACATGTACATAACTGGGAATGTATAATGCTTATTTAAGCTGGGCCCCAAACCCAGCTGAGACCTCCTGCGGTTCCAACACGGATGGCTACTCAGAAAGGCTGACGCAAGCCCTTGGGCCCCTGGGAGCCCTCCCTCTGCCTCATCAGCAAAGTGGCTGTCCCGAGAGGTTTGTGGATACAGAAGGGAGCTGCTCGCTCAGCAGCTGTGCTACAGGGAGTCTTGCCTTATGGGGCACTCGCAACAGGGTCTATGGGGCTGAAATAGTTTCTCGAGGGAAGGTATTTGGGGATCAGAAACCTTTCCCTGGCATTAGGGAATCTCTGCCTGGCTTTAAACCAGTATCACGTCTCTAGGAGCTATGTTCATCCAACACTGAACCAGTGCTGGATGCTGAAGGTGTTCGTAGAAAATACTGGGAGTGTGTCCCTGCATCTGATGGGCTGGCAGCCATGGAGAGCAAGTCACTACATTGCCTATTGCTCATGCTTCTCTCCTTCTAGCAGCCATGAGAAGAAATTCAAATGCATCCAATTTCCACTCTATACCCAAATGTGTAGAGCCAGACTTAAGGAAACCTCCCTGCATGTTTTCCTGAAATTCCTTTTAATTTTTTTTTCCCTTTTTACATTTTTTTATGAAGTTGAATGCCACAGCAGTCCTTCTCCTCATTTGCAATCGATGGGGTGGAGGTGTTTTGGGGTTCCCCTTAGTCCCAAGCCAGCAGCAGTGTACAAGCTTCACTGAAGGAGGACTCGTGGCTCCGTGACTGGGGCACTGAAAAGCAGATTTAAAGTTCTTAGATCTCCAGTTTAACCTGCAGATTTTCCAAGTAACATTTGCTCAGTAAAACATTTCCAAGAGTGGAATTTACTGTCATAATTAATAGGTTATGATTAGGTCAATAACTTTCATCAACCTAGCTGGAAGAGAACCTATTAATGAAACTGTAAAACAACGTAAACTCTACAGAGAAAATAGGAGGGAGAATTTACAACTTCCCAGAAGCCCTAGTAACTAAAGGGACGATTTACAGGAAGTAAAATGAACCGGGCGCCCATAAAACACAACCAAAATTATACCCATATCCAAACAAGACAAATTAAAAAGGTTTAAGTGGATTTCTCAGCCCAAATAAAACAGAGCATCTCAATTGAGAGGAGACATTTCATGTTGCGTTTTATGGAGTGCAGGAGGGGAAGATGCATGGAAATGTGAGCGCATATCAAGCAGGTCGATAAGAAATCAGTGGCATAGCCTGACACTCCTGATGGCTTCTTCAGTCTCAGCCCGTAGGACGTAGTCAGCCAACTCCAGAGTAATGAGGCAGCATGTTCAGCATCCCCTTCTGCACCACGGTCAAAATACAAAGATCCTGGAAATAAATTTAGAAAGCCTTGCATGAAGTATATTTATCTGGCAGCCAGGGGAAATAAGTTGATTCCATTTCAGGCGGCCTGAGAGGATGTTGCCCACCACTAGAGGGTAAATCACTCCAGCTGAAGCCCAAAGTAGCAAACTCCTACACGTGTCACCACTTCTTCTAAATGCAGGCCCCAAGAGAACATGAGATATATCCCATAATCTCTTTTTTAAATTTAAAAACCAAAACATCTTGCCATTTTCTGGGGATACAATCCTCAAAAAATGTTCTATCTAACCCCAGATTACTTTCATAGCTCAAGTGAGGACCATGGCCAACAGTTCCCTGGGACCTCAGAGCAAACCTTCTTGGTGCAGTGGTGCTTTTCCAAGGCTAGCCATGCAATCTCTTATCCTGGGCTCTCCTGTGGGTAATATTTATTCTCTTACACATGGCACAGCAAAGTTTTTTGAAGCCTTTCCTAGAACAAACTCAACAAGAACAAACTCCTGAACAAGTGATCAGCTAGTCCAAGGTCTTGGCTTTCACAACCTGTATTGTTGTCCTGCTTGAATGCTTTCTGCAGCCATGGTGACTGCGGTTAAAATATTTTGATTTTGGTCCTCCAGGAATGGAAAAAGAACCCCATTGTTCTGGGTGCTGCACAAATCACTTTTTTTTAAGGGAAACTTCTTAATTTAAACATCTACCCAAAAGACTCTACCACAACTCTCTGCAAGTTCCTCCAGTGGTTAATTATCCTCACTCTTGTAATTGCGTTTATAAAAGCTGCTTAATTTGACAAGACCGATTTCCCATAACCCCCTGCTGATTAGCATCATGTTCCTGTAATTCTTTATTAATCGGGTCCTCGTGAGGTGTTCCTTCATTTTGCCTGGAATCAATGGCAGGCAATAATTATCCAAGTCATCCTGTTTACGCCATTTTAACATACTAGTGTGGCATTAGTTTTCTTCCAGTCCCCTGGATTGCCCAGCCCTCCAACACATCTCCAAAACCAGCAGTACTTCTCCTTGGCTGCTTCGTAGACAGCACTTGTATGTGGTTAAGACCAGTTTTCAAAAAGCTGTGTGTTTTTAAGAGGGTCTATTCTATATCTTCCACAGTTAATGCTGGCCTGCAAACCATTCCTTCACTTTAATCAGATACAAATCAGCTTTTCCCCCCCAAATACAGAACAAATATCTATTGAAAATGCATGCTTTGCACATTTCCCTTCCAAGGAGGAATCAATACTGTGGTTATTATAGTTCCTTCTGTTCCCAAAGTATTTAAACTCTTTGCTGTCCTCAGCTCTACTGGCCAGAGACATCTCATGTCTTTTTGCTCATCTTACTGATTTTCCACAGCATTTCTAGTGCAAATTCAATGTCCTTTACTCCCATTTTTTTCATTTGATGTGTCTCTTGCCACTTTCACTTTGCCTCTAAGCCAGCCAGTTTTTCAAGCCAGTGTCACTCTTGATGGAGGGATTATTGCTTTGGGGGCACTTTGTTGTTTGTTTGTTTTTTTAAACCATCCCCTATCATCATTCACATTTTTCTGTTCCATTTCTTTATTTCTTCTTTTTTTTTTTCCTTTTTTTTTTTTTTTTTCTCAGCTGACTTGTCTTCCAGGAGATTTTTAATTTTCCGTGAACTTGACCCTTGTAAAATAATGGATGAGCTGTTCTGAGCTAATCTGCTTTGAACATGATTGATGTAAACAAGGATGGGTTTTGCCACCCAAAAGCCAGCCATAGCTGTTCTGGCCAGCCAGCACCCCTTTGCACTCTAAGACAAGGAGCACTGGAGAGTTCCATGGCTTGCCCAAAATCAGATCTTGATTTGCAATTTTTACCTGCAGTTTTTGGAAAATCCCAAGGTTATTTCAAGGCTCACAGCCCAACACCTCCAGCACATGCCAGTAGAGCTAAAATGCTGGACTAATGCTTCTCTTTCTCACCCATGCTTTTTAAGTCAGGGTTTTAGGAGCTGGTCAGCCCACTGCATAGGGCAAGTGGTGGTGGCTTGGTGCAGACACCTCCAGCGCACACATCTCCTGCCCCACCTGCCAGAATATTGACTCATAACTTCTCCGAGTCGTTTCCCTTTGGGTTGCCCATGATTTGCAAACAGATAGTGCTGTTTTGTCACTTTTACCATTCTCCCCCCAATTTGCTCAAAATATTTTTCAATCAGAGGTATCAGCATACAAGTGGTTAAAGCTGGTGGAATAGTATCCTCAGGAAATGGATCTATAGAAGCATTTTTTTTTCTTGAAAAAAAATATAAATTTTAATTGAAAAGAAAATTTTCCATTTACTGCTGGCACATTTAGTTTTTTGATAACCATTTACAAAGTCTGAACAAGTATTTTTTCAGGTTTAGTTTTTCTCAGAGGGAAAGTATTTTAGTTTATATTGTTTTGTAGCACTTCACCACCTACCCTCTTCCTCACTCTCCTCCTCCTTTCCACTTCTCCCAAGCAGTCAAAATAAAAAGGTTATGTGAACTTTTTTTTTCTGTTACTGGTGACAGTTATTTATATTTCTAGTCCCTTTTGCTGCTTCTCCCCTTGAATCCGCCAGGCTTGCAGTAATTTGAGATTCACACTCAAAGTAACTGAGTCGCCACTAACGTGGCAAAGACTCTGTGTGACCAGGACAGCCACGCCTGGAGGTGACCCTCTGGTCTGAGCTGGTGCATTTCAGCTGGGGCATGCCAGCAGATTTCACCTGCATCCAAAAGCATATGGGGAGACATTTCTGAATATCTTCAGTCCCTTTCCTCCTTCAGGTCATCCCGATCTATATAAGTTCAGTGCAGCAGATGGTTTCCCATGGGGACGAAGTCTCAAGGACAGTCAGGAGACTTTTCCCTTTCCTTTCCACATCCTAGAAGTTAAAATATCCATCCTAGATGCAGAGCACCAAAGTGCGTTTGATTTATTTGCAGAACAAAATATTCAGGAAGGAAGTGAGGGAATGCAGACCCCAACTCTGTGCTATCTGATCCAGGAAACTCACATGAGGGAGAGAGGCTCAAACCCCATCTGACTGACTCAGAAGTGACAACCAAGTGATGGAGAAGATTTTCAAAGCAGATCTGGGGTCTCTGAATAGAGAAAGCTTCTGCACTGGTCTTTCAGCAACACCTCCTGGAGGTTCTCACTGGGTCCCCTCTTGAAGTTTTGGGTCCTATATGGGGTCATTAAATAGTTTTTGCAATCACTCAGTTCCACTGACTGAAAATCCCACCAATTTTCAGAAGACTGGGGGAGAAGAGCATGCAGGACCCTCCAACAGCTGAGAGTTTCTGAGACTCCATCCCAACAAAACCACCAGCTGGAGACTTACAAAATAACAGTGAGAAGGACAAAGAGGGGATAGAGTCCCATGTCATCTCATCTGGCCAACAGGAACATTTTTCTTCTGGTTTTATAGTAGGATAAATATCTTCTCAAAGCTGTTTCTTGAGGCTGGTAGTTGGCCTTGTTGGATCGTGGAGAAAAACAGATGAAAACCCAGGTTCCCTGTCCCTTGTGTCCCTTCCCCATAGCCCATGGGGCTGCTCAAACTTTCTGCTGGGGCAAACTGGAAATGAACCAGGAGCTGGCCAGAACCAATTGCAAAATATACAGACCTATTGCATGAGAGTGTTGGTGCTAGACATGAGTGAAATTGCATGCCAAAACAAAGGCATTTGGGATTGGTCAAAGGTGTGTTTAGTACCCAGGCTTTTAATTGGCCAGCTTTTGCACATAAAAATGAATTATTGCACGTGTAAAAACATCATTGCACATGTAAAAGTAAATTATTGTGCATATAAAAACTTTACTGCACATCTAAAAGTAAATTATTGTGCAAGTGAAATAGATTTCTGCATATTTTTTTCCTTGTTCCTCCTGGTCATTATTTTCTCAACACTTGTAATCTCTCATTTTGAACATGTTGAAGTCACACGAAAGATTCCTTCCCTCTGTGCTTTAAAGCAAATTCACGGCTGCTCTTTGAAGAGGAGCACCCAAAACGTGTTTCAACTTCCAAAGGACTTGGAGGGGCTTTGTGTTCCTGGAAATCATCTCTGCCACCGTGCTTGCATGGATTATTTTCTGAGCAGCAACACGAAGAGGAGACTGCAATAAAGTGCGGATGCAGCAGTGCAGGTTCACGTTCACCACCACTGACTGTACCAGGCATGCAGGAGCTGGGGGGAATCAGACACACAACTCCTCCAGACAAGCACTTGTGTGCAAAATTTCCATGACTGCACATGATTTCCTGGCAAGTGCATGTATTAATTATGATCACAGAACTGCCTGCCAGCCTCCTGCAGTAGCCTGATAGCCACATGCCTCTTGCTGCAGCCAAAGCTCTGCTCCTTGCACCTGGGTTAAGATTTATGGGTGATATCTTCGCCCTCTCTCTCACACGTGAGTTTAAAAGCTTTGGCCTCAAGGGCAGGCCAAGCTCCCATCACATTTTACATTTCTATCCCAGCACGAAGCAGCTCCTGGGGTCAGCAGAGCTGGTCCTGGAGACCTTCTCTGTCCCTTCCCCAGCAGCTGGGTGCAGGGGGAGCGTGCCAACGTGTTGCTGTGCCCTACAAGATCACTGACAGCCACCACAGATACAAGATGCACAGTTCAGGGCTTGGTACTGGTCCAGATGATTTTGGCATCTACATCCACCTAGGACATCTTTAGCACATCCCTGAGCAGAGAAGATCAGTGGGTTATTTTAGAGGTTTTCACATTTTGTCCTTCACAAAGGAAGATGTTCTACAGTTTTCACATGTAGGGTCCCCAAAGTTGCACACCAAAGCTCTTTATTTTTTAAAATAAAGCCCCAGAGAGCTGGAAGGCTGTATTCAGCAGCTGAAGTACTGGAATAAATAAGGCCTGGGATCTGAAGGGTCTCAGACTCACTTCCATCTGCCAGCAAAAGCTGGAGGAAGGGAGAAATGCTCCTGCAGAAGTTGGCTCAGCCTCCCATGTCCAAACTGGAAGCATGCTGAAGAGGAGCCAGGCACTGAGTAGGTTCATATCCAACCCCTGTTATTTCTTTTAAGGTTCACCCATCATTTGTCTGATAGCCGTACACTTTTTCATGATTTTACCATGAGTTTTGCCATAGCCAGATATTAACACATCCCACCAAGACTGCTCCTGGTCTTATCCTTAAGCAAGCACCAATCCTTTACCTGATGTCTCCACTCACATGGCAAGGCCACAGCAAAATAGGAAGACTGAAACCTTAGTGAATCATGTGAGAACATCACCAGATTGGGATAGAAACCTTAATACACCCAGCTAGGCTGTGCTGTCAGAAGGAAACAGCAATGATGAGAGGAGATGTCTTGATTTTGGTCTAAAAATGACATATCATACCAAAACCTCATGATGTCCTGATGTCTGGAAAGAAACAGAGACTGGATCATTTCACTGCTGAGGCATGAATGTAATAAAATAAAATAAAATAAAATAAAATAAAATAAAATAAAATAAAATAAAATAAAATAAAATAAAATAAAATAAAATAAAATAAAATAAAATAAAATAAATAAAAAATAACACAGCACAACATTTTCCTGCAATACAAACTCTATGCTACAAGAGAGCGATGCTATCCAACCACGACACCATTATGAAATAGCACTTAATATTATCATGAAAAAATGTCACTGGCATCAAGGCTGTGACCTGATTTGATGCAATGGCCCCCAGTGATATTGTTA